GAAAGAGAAGAAAATATCAAAACATGTATACTTAGAGTGCAAAAAGTGAGTATGTTTTGATTTCAAATAAAAGATAATTTTTTTTTCTACTGAGATCTGCCTGGAAGGATATTGCATTTGCCCAAGCTTGTCTTCCTAAAGTTATGTAAAAATATATTGCATACAATTTATATGTGTGTGTGTATACGTATATGTATACACAAATATATATGAATACCTGTATTTGTTTATATGTGCATAATATACTCCTGGAATGGTATAAAAGAAACAGACAACACCAGTTGCCTCTGGAATGTGAAACTAATGAAGACTGAATGCCCATCCTCTAGCTGAGCTTACAGATAAATGAGAGAAGTTACGAACCATTTTTTAAGAATGATAAAATGGGGGGGCACCTGGGTGGCTCGGTTGGTTAAAGCCTCTGCCTTCGGCCCGGGTCATGATCCCAGGGTCCTGGGATTGAGCCCCGCATCGGGCTCTTTGTTCCGCAGGCAGCCTGTTTCCTCCTCTCTCTCTCTGCCTGCCTCTCTGCCTACTTGTAATCTCTGTCAAATTTAAAAAAAAAAAAAAAGAATGATAAAATGGGGGCGCCTGGGTAGCTCAGTGGGTTAAGCCTCTGCCTTCGGCTCAGGTCATGATCTCAGGGTCCTGGGATCAAGTCCCACATTGGGCTCTCTGCTCGGCAGGGAGCCTGTTTCCTCCTCTCTCTCTGCCTGCCTCTCTGCCTACGTGTGATCTCCATCTGTCAAATAAATAAATAAAATCTTTTTTTAAAAAAGAATGATAAAATGGAAACTTCACATATACAAGAAGTACTAGAAAATTCTCAAACTTCATGTTATCAATGGAAAACAAAAGCATACATAAATTAAGACAAAGGAGAAAACAAGGAAGGCAAAATCCAGGATGGAGAATAAGGATCCCACACAGAGAACACCGACCATTGGAGAAACAACAGTAGCTCTGTGTGGCCAAGAGTATTGAGGGAGAGAAGTGAGCTACTGTGGCTGAAAAGGCATTAAGCAGGGGCAAACACCAGGGCCCTGAGAGCCATGTTCAGGAACATATGTGATACAAAGGTAGCAGTAGGCAGGGAGTGACAGGTCTCAGTCAAGGGAGTAGTGTGATTAGACATGTACTTTTAAGATTTGAAGAGGGCAAGAGGGGAAGCAAGGAAAAAGAGTTAGAGGCTAATAGAATAGATTCAGTCACAGAACAGCATGGTCTGAACCAAAGAAATGCAGAATAATGGACAGGTAAGGGAGGCATTTAGAAAGTAAAATGGCAAGGGCCTGGCAACTAAGTGGGCAGAAGAGCCAAGAGACGAGCCAAATATAGAGACCAGCATTCTGGCCCATGCTGATAGGTGGATGGAGCCAGGAATGGAAGGGCGAAAGCTGGCTTTGTGGGAAAGACACGTAAGTTTAAACTCACAGTGGGACATCTGAGTGAGGATGTCTGGCAGATGGAGATATGTGGTCATAAGCTTCAGTAGAGCTAAAGAGGAACAGAGTAAGAAGCAGACCAGGCATCACCAACACGTGAGGTGCTGATCGAAGAAGGAGAATGGAAAAAGAAGATTAGGAAGAGGCAGTCACAGAAGCAGGAAGAAAAGCAGTAGAGGATGGCATCATGGACACCAAACAATGAGAGCATGTCAAGAAGGTGGTCAGTGGCAAAAGGGGTCAATAAAACAAGGACTTAACTCAAGGCAGTTTCTGGCAGCCACAGCAAAAGCAGAGGCAGTGGAGTATAGTGGGAACAAAAGTATAGTGGGAACAGTTGTAAATCCCACACCAGCAAATTACAAATGTCGATGGTTAAGATAATTTGTGAAAAGTAAACCACAAAATGACCTATAAACACATGATAAACAGATGAATCAGGAAAGAAGACTTAGTATTTCTAATATACATACACATACACACACACTTATTAGAACATTTTGAGAGAGAGAGAGAGCATGAGCAGGGGGGAGGAGCAGAGGGAGAGGGAGGGGCAGAGGGAGAGGAAGAAGCAGGCACCCGGCTAAGCAGGAAGCCGGATTTGGGGTTTAATCCCAAGACCCTGAGATCATGACCTGAGATGAAGGCAGACACTTAACTGACTGAGCCACCCAGGCGCCCTGAAGACTTAGCATTTCTTTACAAATCACTGTCAACCATCCACTGATATAAGATATGCTCGGCATCTGAAATTTTAAGGGAAAAAACTTCCAACCCTGAACAACAACAAAAAACCCTGAAATTCCTAAAATATTGGGCAAAAAAAATTACTCATGCCAATATCTGGGTGCTGAATTTGGCATAAGCATCTCCAAAATGTCAAGTTGATGAGCTGCAACAGCACTGGCCCAGTGTCCGGAAAACCTCCCCAAGTACTCTGAGGCCACCTCCCTTTTAATCATGAGGAACAACTTGAATACAAGGCCACAGAGGAATGCTAGAAGAGAGCAAGGTTGCCAACAGCACATTAACATGGCAATGCGAGGAGAATGAGTTACCCCAGCCTAGCCTACCACCAGGCCCAATCCATATTGATCCCCTACCACCAAAAACCTTTTCTTTAGATCCCATGATCTACATGACTAATTCAGGTTGGCATTTTCCTTTCTGGGAAATGGGAGTTCAAGCAAACCAAGTCGATAGGCATAGGAAGGAAACCTAGAAACAAAAGCAAGAAAAACTCATCAGCCATGAAAACCACAAACTGCTGTCCCAACGAAGGCCCCTTGTTCTCATCTTCAACAGAAGGCAATTCTCCAATCAGAAGGGGGCAGGGGCAGGGCTTTCACTGACCCCAAGCAAACATTAAGGGAGTCAGACTACTGCAGATTATTCCAATGGACTGTTAAGTCCATTCCAAGTCATTCACGTTACAGAAAAGAGAAGAAACTTGGCAAAGGTCACACAGTCTGGTCAGATGTGGGCAAGAATCCATCTGTTTTTTCCTGCACTATACCATAAGTCTTTCTAATGGCCACCAACTGCCAAATACCGATGTCCAGCCCTGGCTCTCCCCAAAGCTCCAGAGTCATATTCCCCACCATCTCTTTGACACTTCCTCTTGGCTATCCCAAAAGCTCAAATCCCAACGTCCAACACTGAACTCATGATCTTTCCCTCATACTCTCAACACCAATTTTTCATCTAGGGCTTCTTAGCTTACCAGATGATATCAGCATCTATCTGGTTCCTGAGCCAGACTAAGAAAACATGTCCTGTGTTTGAACTCCGGCCCTATCTCTCCTAGCTGTGACTCTGGGCAAATTAAATAAGGTCTTTAAACCTCAGGTTTTGTTATCTAATAAATGGGATAACAGAGCCGAATCCCGGGACTCCAAGATGGCTTCATCCATACCAATGAAGCAGAAGCAGCTCATGGCAGACTGGAAGAGCGGCCGAGACAGAAACTGATGTGGGATTTCACCCCTAAAGGTGCTGCTGGAGCATTTCAAAGGGGTTACTACCAGCCAGTATCATAAATAAGTATGTCAGTGTGAAGAAAGGGGGGCATCGCTGGGACTTCTATGGTGCGGGCAGCTTATGTGCATTTCAACTACTGTCATTATTACAAGGACCGGTTCTGCCACTTATTAGTTATGAGTAAAACTTTAGACCCATTACCTAACCTCTCTTGGCTACAGTTAACTCATATACACTAGTAGATAAAACAGGACCTAGATCTCACAGTTGTAGGAAGCATTGAATATAAATATACAGCATATGGCTACATTATTATCCTTAAGGAAGTTCTTTGTACACAGACTACCACCTTAGAAGATAAAGTTCTTTCCATAACACGGTTCTGGGTCTAACAGATTGCCCCATTCCCAGAGGGTATCAGCGAACATGATCAGCCTTAGCCTTTGTCTATTCTGTTTGAGACTAGCAAGCCAATTCTTCTTTTAATTAATTATTTTTATTAACATATAATGTATTATTTGCCCCAGGGGTACAGGTCTGTGAGTCATCAGGCTTACACACTTCACGGCACTCACCATAGCACATACCCTCCCCAATGTCCATCACCCGACCACCCTGTGCCTACCCCTGCCATCCCCTCGCAACCCTCAGTTTAGCAAACCAATTCTTTATGGGAATATCTGACACTACCCTTCTATTCTGAGTAGAACTGCCTGTGCATAAGTGATCCTTCTTCCCAAGTTGGATAACCGAAATGTCACACAAACTACCCAACTTCCTCTTGTCCTTAGGGTCAAACAGCACACCCAGTTTTTCGTAATTCCTCCCATGCGGACACATACACACCAACAAGCACACACCCTTTTGTGAGAATATGACGTCCCCAGCACAGGATGCAAGAGATACTACACAAGAAAACAGTTGCAGACATGAAAATAATAAGAGCTCTTTATCCAAAAGAAAACACTGGAGAAAGGAGAGCTGACATTTTATAAACTAGGAGAAATGGAGACATCTCGTGTTCTTCTGTCATAATATTCCTTTTCTATCTATTCCATATAAGAAACAGCAGTTGCTGCCATATGTAAAATAATCATTCTCCAAACAGCATGGCCTAGGCACTGAAACAGAACGCGGAAGAACTACCGCTGCCTTCCAAAATCTTCCAATGTAACTGGAGGCACCAAACAAAGGGCAACAGTTAAGTATCCACTGAATGAATAATAATAAAGAGTAAGACAGAAATAACATAGGCTGTTTTGGGAAAAAATAAAGCACTCCTCCTGAAAAAGGAGACTAATGATGTAGGTGGAAAGGCATTTTAGACTAAAGACCAAAAACCAGCTTGGATTAGTCTAGAGACACTGAGAAAGGGTAGAAACACATCTACAAAAAGATGTAGGAGAACAGGGGCATCTGGCTGGCTCTGTCAGAGGGTCATGAGACTCTTAATCTTGGGGTCATGAGTTTAAGCCCCATATTGGGGGTAGAACTTCTAAAAAAAAGAGGGCCCGTCAGAAAGTCGTGTCCCATCCCCCAAGTCTCCCACTAGCATAACCCCAAAACATCACTTACCCGAATAAGGGAAGCCTGATGCCGAGGGGGCTTGGCTCCAGGGGCCCCCGACGAGGATCCTTCAGGCTGGACAAGGGGCTGTCTAGCTTCATAAGGAGCTGAAAAAACAGGAGGAAAAGTCAGTGCAGTACAAGAAGATTCCACCCAAAAATTATGACTTCACACTCAAACTGAGAGTGTCTGTTCTTCAGGGAAGAATCAGCAAAGGAATTAGAGTTTATGTACCATAAGGCCACCTTGCACAAACCAACCTTGGTGCCCCTGGGTACAATTTAGGGAAGCAATCTAAAGACATTCAACTGATTCATGAAAAGACAGGAAAATATCTACATCAAGTTGAGATTAGGAATAAATTAGAAGAGTGGAACGTTTGAGAATCTAAACTGCAATAGGAAGCAGGAACAATAGTCAGGAAAGTGCCATGCTATAAATACTCAAATTCTAAGTATGAGGTAAATTCTATATATACCCGCTGGTTTAAAAGTCTTGCATTCATCATCCACCTTCCAAAGCAGCAAGAAAATATGCATTTTGAACACTAAGAATCAACATTACCGTTCATTTTTCAAAAATAAATGGCACAGTCTTCTTCTCCTTATTGGACAGAATGTAAAACCGAGTAAAGTACAAAAAGGAATAAATGCATTTTATATTTATTATTTTATCTTTCAGTAACCAAATGAAAAATAATTTTGCTGACTTTGAGAAAAGCTCTTATGCCACAAAAACAAATGCATTTTTTTATTCCTTTTATTACCAGAACACTTCATAATGATCTTGCCAATATGGCAGGAAAACAGTTAAATATAACCAAGTAGTATTCAACTCTAACAGAAAGGAGAAATTATCAGCCATGATGAAACCATTTTTGATTAACATTTCTGGTTAAAAACTCAAGTTTTTGGAAATATATCAAGAAGTAAAATGCTGGGGCACCTGGGTGGCTGAGTCGGTTAAGCCTCTGACTTTGGCTCAGGTCATGACCTCAGGGTCCTGGGATCGAGCCCCACATAGGGTTCCCCACTCAGTGAGGAGTCTGCTTGTCCCTCTCCCCCTTCCCTATCCCCGGCTTGTGCTCTCGCGCTCTCTCTCTAATAATTTAATAAAATATTTTTTAAAAAAGAACTAAAATGCTCTCTTCCTATAGTTTCCTCATGAATAAAATTAGGTAGAGAGAGCAGAGCAGCCTGTTACGGCATCGCCCTTAAGTATAGTTTGACCCCTGGAAAATAAAGGAGGTGTAATAACGGCACATGAAAAACAGCAAACCACTCTTGGACTCACATCTGCTTTTTGTATTTCCTCCAAGGGACTGGAACACAACATTATAACACCTTTAAAATATATTAAAACATCAAAAATCATTACCTGGCAAAGCATTAAGTAGATTTTCAGACCCTGCTAAGAATAAACAAACATATATAAACTGCAAAAGACACAAAACCAAGAACGTGTAATCCAAATCTTAGAAGATAAGTCTCAGCTGGTAGACAGGTATTGTCCTCTGAAGGATTTTTTTTAATTTATTTATTATTTATTTTTTATTTAAATGCAATTGGTTAACATATAGTGTATTATTAGCCTCAGAGGTAGAGTTCAGTCGAAGAAGGATTAAGATCGTTCCATTTTGATGGAATACCCAATGCCAGAATTAAACTCTCAGAAGTTTTGAATCATAGTAAACTGTACCACAATTGGGATACTAGTGGTCATAAGCTTTCCCTGGGGAGCTGATTCCCCGTGCTTCGGGTTCCCCTCAGAGGGAAGGAGCTTCTATTGCAAAGGAGGACACATATGCAAGGAAGCCATGTGGCCCATGGCTCCAGTCCCTTATCTACAAGGGTCTTCCCTTGGGAGAAATAGACCTATCTCATCAGTAAGGCTTGAACAAAGACTCAGCTGCGTAAGGGATCATTTTTGGAAGGGCCTGGCCTCAATGGCAGGTTTTCTCTTCCTACTACTATGGGAAGCCTGGGTTGGCCACATCAGCCTGCGACTGGAAAGGTGAGTGTATGAAGCCAATCTGGTCACAAAGCTAAAATGTGCGCACTCCCATCAGCTCTGTCAGTACCAGAGCTCATAATTGGACCATCATCAGTCCGACTCCTGTCTCATTCCTCAGCTGGATCTCAACTCAGAAAGCAAAAAGGCACTACTTACTATCTCTACTCTCCTTCCTCTAAATAAAACCTGGAACGTTCAATTCAACACAAAGGAAAGAATTCTTATTCTTTTGTGAGAGAATTTAATAAGGAACTATAAGTATCATCTTTCTCCAAAAGGAGGAGTATAATATGAAGCATAAAGATGTCATCACTCTGAGATTCAGTGTCCAATTAGAACAGGAACCACTAGTAACAGCACAGTAAAAACTCTACATCTGCAGTCAACCTAATGAATGATACCCAGAAGGTGACTTTCAAGAACACTAAAGAGCTTCAAAAATAAACAGGTACCAGGGACACCTGGGTGGCTCAGTGGGTTAAGCCTCTGCCTTTGGCTCAGGTCATGGTCTCAGCATCCTGGGATCGAGCCTCGCATTAGGCTCTCTGCTTCACAGGAAGCCTGCTTCCCTCTCTCTCTCTGCCTGCCTCTCTGTCTACTTGTGATCTCTCGCTCTGTCAAATAAATAAATAAAATCTTTTTTAAAATAAATAAATAAATAAAAGAGGTACCAGATTCTAAAAACACAAAAGAAAATACTAGGCCAACACAAGAGCACCTATAATATGCCAGGAACTGTGCTAGGAACGGAGGTTTATATAACATTCCTTCTTTGATCCACAGAGCAAACCTCTGAAACAGATACTATTCCATTTTACAGATACGAGAAACTGAAGCTCAGAAAAGTGCCATCCATACCCATAGTCACACAGGCCAGAAACGCAGGCTCATCAAGTCTACCTTTAGGCACAGGAGACTGACATCATAGCCCATGCTCTTAAGAGAGTGCGTTCCTAGAATTGATACGTCAGAATAAGATGCATAAGAAAAAACAGAACAGGGGCACCTGGGTGGCTCAGTGGGTTAAGCCGCTGCCTTCGGCTCAGGTCATGATCTCAGGGTCCTGGGATCGAGTCCCGCATCGGGCTCTCTGCTCAGCGGGGAGCCTGCTTCCCTCTCTCTCTCTCTCTCTGCCTGCCTCTCCGTCTACTTGTGATCTCTCTCTCTGTCAAATAAATAAATAAAATCTTTAAAAAAAAAAGAAAAAACAGAACAGGTATCTTGATATGGAGATAAGACCTTAGATACCAGAAGATACAGATAAGATTTGAAAGTAGTTGCCTCTGGAGATCATAACTTAACTATATGGATGTATTACTGTGATTTAACATTTTTTAAACATGGGTAGCAGTATCTGCCTCTGAGGGTTGTGCTAAGAAGCAAATAACGCACATGAAGATCTATGCACGATGCCTGGCACACAAGTCTCAGCTACTGAGCATTAGCTACAGCTACATCTAGCAGGTTAGACTAGCAGGAGCCAGGAGAGAAGTTGAAAAGGGGTTCTAAATCAGATTGGTCTGGAGACACTCAGTCTGATTTAAAACATACTCACATATATTCCCCACTAGCCAGGAATCATGGCAGAATCTTGGACAGGGAAATGGCCCCAGAAAAATGTATTCCTAGAAAAATATTCCAGCAGTGAGCCTGCCCTCTGAAAAGGCATGAATTAAGAAAAACTCTAGGGACGCCTGGATGGTTCAGTTGGTTAAGCGACTGCCTTTGGCTCAGGTCATGATCCCAGGGTCCAGGCATTGAGCCCAGACTCAGGGTCCCTGCTCAGAGGGGAGTCCACCCCTCCAACACGCTCATGCACTTGCTCCTGTGTGCATTCTCTCTGTCTCAAATTTAAAAATTAAATTAAAAAAAATTAAATTTAATTTAAAAAGAAAAAGAATAACTCTACAGTGCTCTAAAAGACAAGAAAGACGGAGAGAAACGGGTTGTCTCCCTGCCAACGGTAGAATGGAAGCCCAACGTGGATGGAATGAGGAAAGAATGGGGCAAGGAGTAGAGAGGGTGAATGCAGACAAGTTGTTTTTTTTTTCTTTTTTTTTTTAAGATTTTATTTATTTATTTGACAGAGAGAGATCACAAGTAGACAGAGAGGCAAGCAGAGAGAGAGAGAGAGAGAGGGGGAGGGAGGGAGGAGGAAGCAGGCTCCCCGCTGAGCAAAGACCCCGATGTGGGGCTCGATCCCAGGACCCTAGATCATGACCTGAGCCGAAGGCAGAGGCCTAACCCACTGAGCCACCCAGGAGCCTCTGCAGACAAGTTGTTAAAGGAAAAAAAGGTAAGGTAGAACTCAGTAACAGGCTGAGTCGGCAGAACAAAAAATGACTTGCCTGTGAATAAAAAAACCAAAAAACAGGCACCAGGGCTGGGGATAAAACTCCAATGTCCAAGCCCAAATAACATTAGGAATCAAAAAGAACTCCTTTTCTAAAACTAGGGAAGTCAGGCAGAAGAGAGATATTCTAAGAGGAAAATAAAGAATTCTCATTTCATTTCAGACCCTAAATGGGACATCCAAGTTTCAGGAGAGACATTTTTTTGTTACTAACCCTTAATAACATCATCTTGCATTTGCACAGGACTGAATTTCCAATCAGACTTTATACTTGTGTTCTCACTAATCCTCACAACACCCCTATAGAATACTGTTACCCCATTTTAAAAGAGGAAAGGAAATCGTGGTTCAGAGCAGTTCAATGGCTTGCCCAAGGTCATGTTAGTCACGTTAAACCCACGCCTTCTGATTCCAATCAAAAGATTTTTCCATTATGCCACACCTGCTCCTCTCTACAAGATTCCAACCTCTAGCCTAGCACACATTTTTATCTGCGTCCCTCTAGAACGCCCCACTATTTTCAATGCAGCAAAACCTGCAAAAACTAGGTCATTTTCAAACACACCCCACAAAATACAAAAGGAGGGCTATGGATAACCAATTCTAGAATACATTTAATTAGTCCTATCTTAAACTATGAGCCTGAGCCCCAGGAGGACAAGATGCTGCAGTGAATTTACGGAGCTTTAGGCACTGCAGGCTAGGCGGCCAACTCTGCAAGTCATCCTCCAAACCAACTAACGTATTTTACCACAAACGTGACCAGCACAACACCAATGTGAGAAAGCAGGCAACCCCACAACTAGGTATTTTACACAGTTTCTCAGCAAAACGCTTCCCCTACCATTTATTTCCCTTATTCTTATTCCCAAACACAGGAGCTAAATAGTTTCATTTCTGAGTGATTGGTCTTTAAAGGTCAAATCAACTCTTTTGCTTTTGCAGAGTTATATTTTTAAGTAGTTTCATAAAAGCAGTTGTTATACAAATATGTTTGGAATGTTTGCCGAAAGGAACAACAATTCCAAGACAATACCATCTTTCACATGCTATGTTCCTGTGTAATGAAATCTGTATGTGAAGGATTAAATCATCTAAATCATTTACAAGTCTAAAGATAAACTAGTTTGTAGGATAGGAGACAAGGCATTATTACTAAGATAGATTTCATTTCATTAAAAAAAAAAAAAAACCTTGCTTGAGAGTATAAAATTAAATTGAGCCATGTTTCCAAGGACGGAGGTAATTAAGTCAGGAGATTCAGCAGCTGGCAGCGTTGCCGGCTGATAGATTAAGGAGTCTCTAAGACACTGCCTGGGACAGCTGGACAAGATCGCCTCTTACCTGGATGCATCTGCTCCGTGCTGCTCCGCAGTTTGCTGTAGCCATGGCTCAAGGGCACCCTCTGGTAATGAGGCGGGGAAGAAGGAGGGGAGGCGAGGGGTGACATCGTGGGAGACTGTGTTTCCTGCTTCAAAAGAACCAGAGCAGAGTTCAGGGGCAATCACTCGAGAAGCCTGGCGCTCCGAGCTGCAGTTATGAAGTATAATGCAACTCTATTGCTGGCGAGATGGTTGATTTAACAAATGGAGGGAATGTTTTCTCAAACACACAGTTCGGTTAAAATGCAGTGTCTGAGGATTCACATCTCCCAGAAAACAAAGTCTCGCCAGCGCTTAGTTGTCTAAATTACTAAAACAAGCCTGAAATGCTTTTAGTTATTCTGCTAAAATTTTCCTTTGGAAAATGGAAGACAATGATCACATGAAAGAGCATTCATACTCCCCAGATCGGATCTCTTCGTGGATAAATTCAACTTTCATTCATTGATAAAGGCTCCTATTTCCTGGATTTACACTTACCAAGTTTTCCAGCAAATGTGGATATTAAAAATACACATTTAAAATGCTTAATGCTAAATGTTCCTGGAGCTTACTATGCCAAAGTAAAATGCCAGCTTTTTCACACTGGGGGATGACTACACAGTTCATTATGGGTAAACCACTTCTAAACTCTAAGAGGGAGGTTTAACAAGCTACAGTTCAAACCTCAGTTGAAAGGTGAATTCTATGTAGGGCTCTGGCAAGGTAAACCATGTTACTCTGCTACTGGGTTTCCGCCTCTTTTTTTTTAAGTATTTATTTATTTGACACAGAGAGAAAGAACACATGTAGGCAGAGAGGCAGGCAGAGAGAAAGGGGGGAGGCAGGCTCCCCGCTGAGCAGAGAGCCCTACCCGGGCCCTATCCCAGGACCCTGAGACCATGACCTGAGCCGAAAGCAGAGGCTTAACCCACTGAGCCACCCAGGCACCCCTCTGCCTCTTTTTTTAACGCTACCAATAAACTGGTAACTTCTGAGCGCCCAAGTAACAAGGAAACAGTACCTCCAATCAACATGCAGACCATATGGGTGCTCTTAGTCTAAAAAAAAATATATGCAATCTGAGATACTGATCACTCTTTTTCAAGAAAAAGAAAGTGTGAGTTCACATCAACAGATTGGGTGGGCCTACCATAAACCCAACCTGAAGTGAAAGGATGTGTCCTCAATCGTGCAGCCAGGAGATGGGCCTAGAAAGTCCCTGGGGTATCAACCATCCTAGGATAGTGAACCCTCATTCCTCTCCAAACACTAGTAGGAAAACGCGCCAGAGCACTGACTGAAGAGATGGGGATATATATATATATACACATACATACATATATATGTATATATATATATTTATCTCCATCCCTGAAGAACCTGTTTAAAATGTATCAGAATTACAAAAGCAACAGCACATGGAGTTATTTAACAGGACATGCTATATATACCCATCACTTGACTATAAATATAAAAATTCTGTAGCAACCTCATATATACAGCATTATCATGGTGAGCAATGTAAATTAGTTTTTTGACTTAGTCCTTTAATATTCATTGCATTTAAAAAACATTTTGATTCGTCCTCCTAAAATATGAATATCTTTGTCTTACAGAAGATACTATATTAAATATAATTTGACTTTTCTGCATGATTCAGTACCTTTATTAGAAGTATGAGCTGTACGTTCATGCCATCAGGGTTTACTAATGCGTAAGACTATTTACCTCTTTCTTGATAGGCTCACTCCTCTGAGATTTTATACTTCTGTCTCGATCAATCACCACCTGACTGTTGCAATTAGTGCTCTAATTTTAAAAGCCCATCCTCCCTATCCTTGTCCCTAACCTGCTAAATGTGTAACGGCAGCATTTCCCAAGATGGAATTCCAAACATGCTCTGCAAGAAAAGATTTCCTGGTGAGAGAAGTCTAGTAAACACAAATCTCTAGGTTTCCTTACAGCAGGACTTCTCAGGGCCTTGAATGTGCTAATGTGCACTATGACTCCCCAAGACTGAGGATATAGTCTTTCCCCCAAGAAAAGAATATGAAGCAGCATTCTCCAAACATATTTAACCACAGAAATCTTTTCTCCAAACTTTGTGTAAGGAGAGAATCTATTAAAAACTCCTAGGTGGGCGCCTGGGTGGCTCAGTGGTTGAGCCTCTGCCTTCAACTCGGGTCATGGTCTCGGGGTCCTGAGATCGAGCCCCACATAGGGCTCTCTGCTCGGCGGAGAGCCTGCTTCTCCCTCTCTCTCTGCCTGCCTCTCTGCCTACTTGTGATCTCTCTCTGTCAAATAAATAAATAAAAGCTTAAAAAAATTAAAAAAAAACCTGGGGATTCCTGGCTGGCTCAATCAGTTGAGCTTGCAACTCTTGATCATGGAGTCCTGAGTTAAAGCCCCACGTTGGGTGTAGCATTTACTTAAAAAAAAATCCTGTAAGTTACGTTTCAAAGAACCCATCTGGAAATGCTGATTAGAGAAATCAAGTAAGTGTGTTAAATCAGTAGCCTACTTTGGACACATTCAAGTAGGCTCTTAAGGACCCAGGGGTAGCTATATGTCAGCTGCTTTTTCTTGCTACAAGGAAACTTTACTGGCTCACTTCCAAGTCTATAATTATATCCCAGATGGCGAGATTTGCTAGAAGCTTGACGGCGGATATGAGGCACTGCTACGTGAGGTTTTAGGATCAGAGTAAAATGGACACGCCCGATTAGGCTGTTTACCTGCTTATCCTCATCGTCCATTCTCTTGAAGGTGTTTTTTTCTGTGATTGAATACGGAATCTGAGCCTTGGGCCCATGAAGCTCAGCCGGGTTCCCGAATCGTATCTCAGCGTCGGTCTTCGACATCATAAAGCGAGGCAGTGGCAGTTCTTTAGGACCAGAACAGAGAAGCTCAAGTGAGACTTTATTTTAAAACTGTGAAAAGCAGGACGCAATGGCCAAAAGATGAATCACTTTTGAGGAAAAATTCCAGAGCACTAAGTATAGATTCAATTTTTATTTGGACACAATGAAAACTCCTATAATACTGTCACGAGAGAAAAATGCTTCAGTTCTAGCACGGCATGCTGGCTTCACATTTTTAAATGCTGTCAAGTCACTGCAGAGGATATTCAGGTTTTGGACTGATCTCCCACCTCAGCCTTTAGTCCAGCACCAGCAAGAAAGATGTGCTACTGTATGTGCCACTGTTAAGTGGCAAATGAAGGAGACAAAATCTATACAACACATATTATATGCCAGACACGATATCGAGATCTGCAAATGTTACATCATTTAACCCTCACAATAACTCAGTAAGGTAAGACTACCATCAGCCTTCTTTTACAGATGTGGAAACAGACTCAAAGGAGCTAAGTGACACCCCCAAGATCCCACAGCTTGCCGTCTATGGCAGAGCTGTCAGTCCCCAGAACTGCTGCCCTACAGAAAGGCCCCTCATTCCTAGGGCAAACTTACTGGGTAAAACAGTTTTTCAGCCTACAGCATTCTTTAAGGAATTTTCACACCTGATCTCCAATTGTCTTTTCAGAATGGAATAAGGAAAATGGTATCAAGTTAGAGCAATCAATCCAACATTCAGGCAGGTTCTACTGTCAAAACCATTAGCCACACTCACAAGGCTACAAAGAGCAGAAATGCAACAGTCTGGAATATTTACTTATCTTTCAAATATCTGATAAAAAGTATTCTCAAACAGAAATGATGCTTTGGCACACTTCTAGTTCTCGGCACGCAAATCACACACAATCACACAACACAAAGAACTCCCCAAATGGGGATAATATTATGGATTATGTTAATGATTTGCATCTGTATCCATTGTTCAGGAGAATACTCATCACGAGCCTCTGCACTTCCATCAGCGCTCTATTCCAAACACAGCTGCACTTCCACTGATTGATGCTGTGCTAAAGCCAGAAAACATCTTAGCAACAACAACCAAGTATCCCAGCTCCCAGGCAAAGAAGGCCCCTGGTTCTCGGATATCAACATCATGTTTATTTTTAGTTGCTATGTTCACATTTGATTCAAAGAAGTAGGCAATATGATGATTCCCTGCATGATCAATCAGCCAAAGGCCCAAGAGACATAAATAGAATAAGCAATCTGGAAAATTAAACCAGGACTCTCCTCTAAAGAGAAGATGGCCACCATTTTGAACACTGTAATGTTCCCCAACCTGGGCAGCTCTCCACTTACTCAAGGAGGGAATGGACTTCAAAAGAAAGAGGGAAGAAGAAAAGAAAACCCAGATACTGTGTAAATCAAATATAAGCTCATCCTATGGTTATTTTCTCAGAAAGGTATTTGTTTCGGTTCAGTCTGCAAAAGGTATCTAAAAAGATGGAATGAGATCACATAAAATAATCTGTACCCCAACTGTCCACGAGAGGATGACTCCATTTCCAAACACTACTTGAGGGAGAAGAGAAGTAAATGTTCACATTTGTAAACTCCCTGATCAGTGTTTTACTGCGTGTTCAATACGTAATTTTGGGAACAACAGAATACAAACACGAGAAGATGAATATCAACTATTAATATACTAGAACTCCCAGATATCCGTTAGGACACAGTCGCTTCACACAGTCTCTTCCTTCCCTGGCTATGGCATTTCTCCAGAACTAGTCACCTGGCAAAAAACCTCTCTCCTCCAGATGGCCACCAAACAGCGAAACACCAAATATAAGCTGAATTTCTCTTGTACTTTCTCTGCTTATGTGGTCTTAAACAACTCCCACTTAACAGAATTATAACCATAAATAATAATAATCCTATCAGTGAAAATGTTCATGAAGGGGCTATCTACCTTGGAGCTTAAACTGCTCCAAGCTTTCAAAAAGTGGAAAGTAAAACTCTAATTTGTAAATACTCAGTCTAAATGGTTTTTTGTAGTCATATGGACACCATATTTAATAGTGAAACTTGATTAAAAACTTAATCAATAAAGTATCTGCTATCCAATGATGTACCTTAAGTAATCACAAGAGAAGAGCCGTTTGTTAGTTAGTTGTTAGCTGGTTAGAATCTTTTCTCCCAAACTGAATTAAGTTAGCACAAGGAAATAAACAGAGTTCAAACTGAAGGTTTATGGGGGCCACAGAGACAATGAGTACAGCCATCCAAGGCGATAATTTGTTTCGTGAAGTTATCTTAGGTTGTAGTCTTTGAACATAGAAACACTTTGTATATTAAATTATAAATGACTATTTTTCCCTTCCTCAAAGAAAACTATGCTTCTAAACAACTGACCCTCTAAAAAGTAAGGGAAAAATCCTTTCATTTTCCATGTTTGATGGTGACATGAATATAAGAAATACTTCCATTTCCTCAATTAGAAAAAATGTAAACATAAAACAGAAATGGAATAACAAACGATAAAAGAATGGGGAGAGGTGGGGCTGAGCAGAGCCCACGTTCCATCTAAAATGGCAGCTGCTGTTCACTGTCACTGTCACTACTGTCCTCCAGAAATTGAAGGCGAGCCGCATACATAATTGTAAATTGTATAGTAAGTACAATATTTTTTAAGGGAAGAAGAGAGTCACACAAAGACACATCCTGTTATGATTTCACTTATACGAAGGGTCAATAGTCAAACGTATAGAGACTGAAAGTAGAATTTTTTAAGTGAAGAAGAGAGTCACAAAAGGACAAATACTGTATGATTTCACTTATACGATGGATCAATAGTCAAATGTATAGGGACAGAAAGTAGAATGTGGTTGCCTGTGACTAGGGCAAGGGGAAATGCAGAGCTGTTTAGTGGCTTTACAGTTTCACATACTTAAGATGAAAAGAGTTCTGGAGATGGATGGTGGACATGGCTGCACAATATGAATGTACTAAAGGGTACAATTAAAAAATGGTCAAGGTGGGGCACCTGGCTGGCTCCGTGGGAAGAACATGCAACTCTTGATCTCAGGGTCGTGAGTTCGAGCCACACATTTGGTGTGGAGATGACTTTAAACAAACACAGTTTAGATAAATTTTATGGTCAATTTTATGTTATGTACATTTTGTCACAATTTTTCAAAACTCTTTCAAATAAAAAAGGAAACAGGTGAAATTAATTTTAATAATTATTTCAACTCAATATTACCATTATAAGATACAATTGAGATAAAAATTATTAATGAAATAGTTCACATTCTTTTCTTCAGACTTGTTTTTCAACTCCCAGGTGTATTTTACCTGCACTACACACCTTGATTCAGACATCCCACATTGCCGGTGCTCAGCAGCCACACTAGCATGGCTATCGGCTACCCTACTAGCACAGCACAGTTCCGGTTGCTGGTTGACATGAGGGAATGTGGACCACTGTGGCCAGAAATCTGGATTTTACTAAGAGATATTATAACATTAAATGTTAACAACTAAATGATTTCTTTTTAAATTATATAAGAAGTATTTTGTATGGAGGGATAATTTACATAAATCTTAAGTGTACCATCTGAAGAATTTTGACAAATGTATATATAAGCACATACACCCAAATTAAGATATGACATTTCCGGGGCACCTGGGTGGCTCAGTGGGTTAAGCCGCTGCCTTCGGCTCACGTCATGATCTCAGAGTCCTGGGATCGAGCCCCGCATCGGGCTCTCTGCTGTCTAGGGGAGCCTGCTTCCTCCTCTCTCTCTGCCTGCCTCTCTGCCTGCTTGTGATCTCTCTGTCAAATAAATAAATAAAATCTTAAAAAAAAAAAAAAGATATGACATTTCCATCCTATAGAATTTTCCTTCACATCCATTTCTAGTCAATCCCCTCTCCTTGTCCCACTCGGCAAGCCCAGTTCTAATCTCTAAATCCAGATTACCTTTCCCATTATAGAACTTCACATGATGGAATTGTTCGGTATTTATCCTTGAAACTAGCTTCCTTCACAATATTTTGTCTGTGAGAATCAACCAGTGTACTGCATGTAGACACAGTTTATTCCTTTTCATTGCTATGGAATAATCCATTTTTATGAATATATTGAGATTTTTTTTTTAATCCATTCTCCTATGAGAAACATCTGGGCTGTTTCCAGTTTGGGGCCATTATGAATATAGCTGTTACAAACATTGTTATAAGTGGTTTCTGATGGACATGAATCAATTTATTTTGGGCATAAACCTGTGAAGGAAGTCCAGCCCACTGCCTATTTCTGTATACTCTGTGAGTTAAGAATGGGTATTACATTTTTCAATGTCTGGAAAACATCAAAAGAAAAATAGTTGTGATATGAAAACTGTATGAAATTCAAATTTCAGTGTCCATAAATAAAGCTTTTTTGGAACATGGCCACTCTCCTTTGTTTACATATCATCCATATCTGCTTTCATGGTTCAAGGGCAGAGTTACGTAGTTGCAGCAAAGGCCATATGGTTCACAGGGCCTAAAATATCCACCACCTAGCCCCTTACAGGAAAAGTTTGCTGATTCCAGTCTTACACAATGCAATGGTTAAAGTAAAACATAGTCTTACTAAAACAATAAAGGTGCATTTAATGGAAAAATATTTTACACTGCTTGAGTATTTTTATTCAAATTTTAAATAATTTACATTAAAAATTCGATTCCTCAATCAACAATAACCATATGTGGCTAGTAAGTACCACATTAGATGGCACAGTTTAGACGCTTTTCCAGATTTTTGACATTACCTGACTTTATGCTCACAACAACCCTGTAAGACAGGTACTATTGGTATATCCCTTCTCCAGGTGAGCCATTTAAAGCTCAAAAAGGTTAGGAAACTTGTCTGAGGGCACACAAAAAGTGATGGTGCAAACAATTCAAAATCAGGCAACCTATTACTGGGGCCCACACTCAACCACAAGGCTATACTGTCATCCAGAAAATTAAAATATTCTTTCTATTGCAGGTTTGAACACTCAGCAAGAAACTGTGGCATTCCAGAGCTAGAAAACAGCCTAGAGAAAACCTGCTTGGAATATCTGCATCTTACAGGTGAAGAACTAAGCCCAGGAAGGGGAGGGTGGGCCTTGTCTTAGTCATGCAGCAATTTGGTGACAGAACCATGACCACAAC